TCCCTCCACTGGCCCCATTCTCAGTGTCCTCCATCCCTCTCTGCCAATCCTCCACTGCCCCCAAGTGTCCTCCACCCCTCTCTGCCAATCCCTCCACTGACCTCCACTCAGTGTCCTCCACCCCTCTCTGCCAATCCCTCCACCGGCCTCCACCCTTCTCTGCCAATCCCTCCACTGGCTTCCCGTTGCCCAAACGGATAAAATTCAAAACACTAACAATAACGTATAAAGCCATTTATAACTCCGCCCCAAATTACATCACCGATCTTGTCTCTAAATATCACCCAAACCGTACTCTCCGCTCCTCCCACGACCTACTGCTCTCTAGCTCCCTTGTCTCCTCCTCCCATGCTCATCTCCAGGACTTCTCCAGAGCTTCCCCCATCCTCTGGAACTCTCTACCCCAATTTATCAGACTATCGCCTACTCTGCCCACTTTTAGGCGATCTCTGAAAACCTCTCTCTTCAGGGAAGCCTATCCTGCACTCAGCTAATAATGGAATCTTCTACTCTTCCAACAGTCCATCCCCCACAGTTACTACCTTTTGTACCACTAGCCCCTCCCTCCTAGATTGTAAGCTCCAAGGATCAGGGCCCTCCTTTCAGATTGTAAGCCCCAGGATCAGGCCCTCCTATCCCTCTTGTATTGAACTGTATTGTTGCTGTATTGTCTCCCGTTATATTGTAAAGTGCTGAGCAAACTGTTGGTGCCATAAATCCTGTATAATAATAATAATAATGTATGTGAAGTACAGATCCACTTTAAGCGCTTGTTTAGATTCACAATTGAGGGGCAGTAAAATCATGTGGTTGAGATGTGTTTTAACTACCTCCCCTATCACTCCCGCTTAACCTGCAAAGGCAGCAAACAGAGGTGTTTTCATGCTGAGGTGAAAATTATCCCCTCATCGCATACGGTGGCCAGTAGCACAACTCATTTAAGTGAACCAATCAGTGATCAGATGCAGAGTAGTAAGCAAGATGTCACTTCTGACAACATTTGCTACTACGTGTGAAATCTGTGAATGATCACAGAGGTCACATGGTCCAAGGCTATTCTCAACAGCCTTGTACCATGTGACAAGCTGTGACCAATCACAGCTCACACAGTATTTCTCAATGCCTGCATTCACTATATCCGCTCTCCCCCCAGACCCTGCATTCACTATATCCGCTCTCCCCAGACCTGGCATTCACTATATCCGGTCTCCCCGGACCCTGCATTCACTATATACGCTCTCCCCAGGACCCGGTATTCACTATATCCGCTCTCCCCGGACTCGGCATTCACTATATCTGGTCTCCCCGGACCCCACCGTTCACTATATCCGGTCTCCCCGGACCCCGCATTCACTATATCCGCTCTCCCCCCCGACCCTGCATTCACTATATCCGGTCTCTCGGCATTCACTATATCCGGACCCCACCATTCACTATATCCACTCTCCCCGGACCCCGCATTCACTATATCCACTCTCCCCGGACCCGGCGTTCACTATATCCGGTCTCCCCGGACTCGGCATTCACTATATCCGGTCTCCCCAGACCCGGCGTTCACTATATCCGGTCTCTCCGGACCCTGCATTCACTATATCCGCTCTCCCCGGACCCTGCATTCACTATATCCGCTCTCCCCGGACCCCGCATTCACTATATCCGCTCTCCCCGGACCCTGCATTCACTATATCTGCTCTCCCCGGACCCGGCGTTCACTATATATGGTGTCCCCGGGACCCGGCGTTCACTATATCCGCTCTCCCCAGACCCCGCATTCACTATATCCACTCTCCCCGTACCCTGCATTCACTATATCCGCTCTCCCCAGACCCCGCATTCACTATATCCAATCTCCCCGGACCCTGCATTCTCTATATCCGCTCTCCCCAGACCCGGCGTTCACTATATATGGTCTCCTCGGACCCGGCGTTCACTATATATATGGTCTCCCTCGGACCCGGCGTTCACTATATCCGGTCTCCCCGGACCCGGCATTCACTAAATCCGGTCTCCCCAGACCCAGCATTCACTATATATGGTCTCCCCGGACCAGGCGTTCACTATATCCGCTCTCCCCGGACCCCGCATTCACTATATCCGCTCTCCCCGGACCCCGCATTCACTATATCCGCTCTCCCCGGACCCCGCATTCACTATATCCAGTCTCCCCGGACCCCGCATTCCCTATATCCGCTCTACCCGGACCCTGCATTCACTATATCCGCTCTCCCCGGACCCCGCATTCACTATATCCGCTCTCCCCGGACCCCGCATTCACTATATCTGCTCTCCCCGGACCCCGCATTCACTATATCCGCTCTCCCCGGACCCTGCATTCACTATATCCGCTCTCCACGGACCCCGCATTCACTATATCCGCTCTCCCCGGACCCCGCATTCACTATATCCGCTCTCCCCGGACCCCGCATTCACTATATCCGCTCTCCACGTACTCTGCATTCACTATATCCGCTCTCCCCGGACTCTGCATTCACTATATCTGGTCTCCCCGGACCCTGCATTCACTATATCTGGTCTCCCACAGTACACAGAACATGGAAATGCAATTATTTTAGTAAATATAAACTGCTAAATACCTTTTCTCATCAGCAGTATAGAGCAGTCTTGTGACTTCTATCAGTGTCCAGCAGAACACTGGTTAAAGCTTGTAGGAGGTGTTTTCATTCTCCCCTGATTGTCTTATGAGGCTGCATAACCCCCTGACCCCTCTGGCTGGACAGTGCTGATTGGCCCTGTGCTGATCACATGCACCCTTCCAAGAAAAAAAAAACTTTCTATCAATGCACACCAAACTGAGCATATGCAGCTTGCTCCCAAGGCCCTGTTCTATCAGCTTATGGATTGGGGACAGTAGAAAAAGAGGAGGATCAGAGAAGACCGCATCAAACAGCCTTTTTACACAATGTTGACTGTTAACCCCTTAGATTCCACAGTGGGTATAACAAGCATGCTTTGCTGCATATACAGACTGATTGTACTGTTGTGTGTCTAGTAACACTTTAAAGCGGAGTTCCACTCACGCTGTCAAAAAATAAAAGTCAGCAGCTACAAAAACTGTAGCTGCTGACTTTTAAATAACAGCCACTTACCTGTCCCTTGGTCCCGTGGTGTGTCCCCCGCAGCCCGTTTCACCGGCCGTCCTGTATTCCAGGAGGCCAGCATCTTCAGTGTGGGCACCCGGCTGTGACAGCTTGTGGCTTCACAGCCGGGTACCCACTGCGCATGCGTGAGTAGCTCTGCGCTTCATGAATGGTCCTGTAGTCTTCTGGGACCTGTCACCTGTCCATAAGACTACAGGGGGGAGGGAAGACACCTTCCACTTCTGGTTGCTTAGGCGATTGAACCGGAAGTGGGAGCGGGTACCTGTCAAATTCGGGTACCTGCTCCCAAGGTGCCAATCCTTAATGGGGAGCGGGGGAGCAGTCCTTAAAGCGAAACTTCCCCTTTTGGGTGGAGCTCCACTTTAATGAGAAGAAAAAATTACCGTATTTTTCGCTCCATAAGACGCACCTAGGTTTTTTGAGGCAGAAAACAGGAAAAAAAAATTCTGAACTAATGGACTGCAGACACAGCACAGGGATGACCAGAGACTGCGGACAGCACAGAGATGACCAGAGACTGCGGACAGCACAGAGATGACCAGAGAACAGGGATGACCAGAGACTGCGGACAGCACAGGGATGACCAGAGACTGCGGACAGCACAGAGATGACCAGAGACTGCGGACAGCACAGGGATGACCAGAGACTGCGGACAGCACAGGGATGACCAGAGACTGCGGACAGCACAGGGATGACCAGAGACTGCGGACAGCACAGGGATGACCAGAGACTGCGGACATCACAGCCAGAGACTGCGGACAGCACAGGGATGACCAGAGACTGCGGACAGCACAGGGATGACCAGAGACTGCGGACAGCACAGGGATGACCAGAGACTGCGGACAGCACAGGGATGACCAGAGACTGCGGACAGCACAGAGATGACCAGAGACTGCGGACAGTACAGATGACTGCTGACCTTTGGGGAGGTGGGGAGCGGGTACCTGAATTTGACAGGTACCCGCTCTTACTTCCGCAGAGTTTTTGTTTGATCTTACCTGTTCCTCGATCCAGCCGCGCGCTGTCTTCCCGGCTTCTGTAATGGCGCTCGGCATGACAGCCGGGTGCCCAGTGCGCATGAGCGAGAAGCACTTGCGCTTTGTGATTGGTCCGGCGGCTTATGGGATCTGTCATGTGTCCCAGGTACCGCCTTACCATTCACAAAAAGCACCGCTTCTTGCGCATGCGCACTGGGCACCCGGCTGTCATGCCCAGTGCCCACACTACAGAAGCCGGGAAGACAGCGCGCCGCTGGATAGAGGAACAGGTAAGATCAAAGAACAAAGTAAGAGCGGGTACCTGTCAAATTCAGGTACCCGCTCCCCACCTCCCCAAAGGTCAGCAGGCATCTCCATAAGGTCCCGCTGCAGAACTGAGCGGCCGGCCCGGTATTCTGACACGGCCGCGGTGGAAATACCGGACCGGCCGCTCCATATTCGCTCCATAAGACGCACTGACATTTTCCCCCCTTTTTTGGGGAGAAAAAAGTGCGCCTTATGGAGCGAAAAATACGGTAGATTAAACAACTGTAGTATCAGGCTGCAACATTTTAAAAAGTGATGGGGGTCTGAATACTTTCTGAATGCACTGTATGTTATGCAGGGGGAGGTTTATAGTACATATAGGTGCCCAGGGGCGGACTGACAACTCATGGGGCCCCCGGGCAATATGGGATCATGGGGCCCCTGTGTCCTTGCCCAAACTCCAAAAAGCCTATGAAAAAGGTACCAGGGGCATCTCATGGGGCCCCCTACTGACACCGGGCCCTCGGGCAGTGCCCAAGTTTCCAAATGGTCAGTCCGCCCCTGTAGGTGCCCATATATTGAGTATGTATTGTTTATCCGGTGTCCTGTGTTTTCCAGACGTACCTACGTGGGCAGCATGCCTGGCCGTATAATAAATGGACTGAAGATCGTCGGCGTGAATAACCCGGTTTTCCTCCTAGATGAAGTGGACAAGCTGGGCAAAAGCCTGCAGGGGGACCCAGCAGCCGCACTACTGGAGGTAAATTACCCGCATGGATCATCTCACATTGCAACATCATCACTTTCTGCTATTACATAATAATGTTCAATGGGGTTCACGATAAACTGGGAGATAAGACATTTCTAACTCCAGCTCAGTAAATCTCACACGAGTGTAAGCAATTCGTAGGAAATGTATAAACAACTACCGCAGTCTGAATATATCTACAGCACCACATAATCTTCTACTGTAAAGCAAAAAATGAGGTTTTTAGTTCTATTATTTGCTTTAGCTATGAACTACAAGCAGCCTAGAGGATTTGGGTGCAGACTGTGAAAACTGAGCATTAAAACCGCATCGCCATCTAAAACACATTGGTTTGTAGTGGAGTTGGACAGAGTTCAATCCATTGCCTGGTCTATATGCTGTCATGGTCCCTGTCTCCAGTCCTGCAATGGTAATACCATTCTAAATTTGAGTTATTTATTTATTTCAGGGACTTATATAGCGCCGTCAATTTATGGAGCGCTTTACATATATATTGATAAATTATCCCTAATAAAAAACGTGAAGATCACATTCAGCGTGTATGGGTAACTGATCCAGGGGTGACAGATGATGTGTCTGAATAAGCGAAGTGCACACTCACCAGAAGCGCGCTTTAAACACGCATTTGAGAGATTAATCCTGTCTCATCAGGTATAATCAGGTCATCTGCTCCCAGTTCAGGCCAGGTTCCTATACACCACTGGTTCCTTGAACAGGTGTCACAGCGTCTGGTCACATCTGTATTAAACTCTCTGGGTCCCTTGGTATGTATCACCGCGTTAGGTCACCTCTATGATAGGCTCTGACCATCATAAAATGTTACTCATCGCTGTATATTGGCAGTGTGATATCATCTGAGGCTCTGCTGCTTCTGATTTGCTTTTCTTGTCTGGTTTGGAGTAAGATTTGGTGATATAACTACCGTGCTCGTCGCTGTTCTCCTTGCTGGAGAGAGAGCTGTACCTGGGGACCTGCTGTGGAGGGATCTCCATTCCTCACCCTCATTCATTCTGTGGATCTGTGCGTCCTCAACCTCTCCTCCTTCTTTTTGGGTCATTCTTCCACCATTCATTCAGTCACTATTAATCAGTTGTGCAGCTCAGACATGAGGAGGCAAAGCCTTGCTGCTCTACCGAGATGCACAACAGGGTAAATCATTAAACATTCAGCCACCTCCCTGGGCCGCTCTGATGTCCTATAAACATGCTGCACTGCTTCACCACAGACATACCTACTGACTTCCTGGTGATGAGGAGTAAAAAGTCCTCGGCGGTGTCCTACTGAGTGCGTAATGTGTACGAGGACAGAGTGCAGGCCAGCAACACACCCCCCCCCCCCCCCCCCCCCCCCGGCATGGATGGTGCATGCCGTGTCTTTTACCAGAGGCTGGCTCCATGTCCAACCAGAGGCTGGCCCCACCGGATGCTCTTCTCCCCCCCCGATCAAGCCACCCTGGCTCCCCCTTGTTGGCCAATTCGGGAACCTGGAGCCAGTTCAGCAAGCGCCGTCCAGTCCGACGTACTTGGTGTACAGAAAGTGCCTGGCACATAGCTTCAGCCTTGGTCTGGAGGAGGCAGGAAAGAGGCAGAGCAGGAGGGTCCCCGAGTCACTGTACCACAGGCTTCTGGGTTGTAGTTGCCCCCTGGGCCAAAAGTTGCCAGTTAGCCCCTGGTTCACCTGCAGGCACCCTATGATTATTATACAGGATTTATGGTGCCAACAGTTTGCTCAGCGCTTTACAATATAACGGGAGACAATACAGCAACAATACAGTTCAATACAAGAGGGATAGGAGCAGGGGCGGACTGACAACTCATGGGGCCCCCGGGCAATAGGGGATCATGGGGCCCCTGTGTCCTTGCCCAAATTCAAAAACGCCTATGAAAAAGGTACCAGGGGCATCTCATGGGGCCCCCTACTGACCCCGGGCCCTCGGGCAGTGCCCGAGTTTCCAAATGGTCAGTCTGCCCCTGGATAGGAGGGCCCTGATCCTTGGAGCTTACAATCTAGGAGGGAGGGGCTAGTGGTACAAAAGGTAGTAACTGTGGGGGATGGACTGGTTGGAAGAGTAGAAGATTCCATTATTAGCTGAGGGCAGGATAGGCTTCCCTGAAGAGAGAGGTTTTCAGAGATCGCCTAAAAGTGAGCAGAGTAGGCGATAGTCTGATAAATTGGGGTAGAGAGTTCCAGAGGATGGGGGAAGCTCTGGAGAAGTCCTGGAAACGAGCATGGGAGGAGGAGACAAGGGAGCTAGAGAACAGGTGGTTGTGCGAGGAGCGGAGAGTACGGTTTGGGTGATATTTGGAGACAAGATCGGTGATGTAATTTGGGGCAGAGTTATAAATGGCTTTATACGTTATTGTTAGTGTTTTGAATTTTCCGTTGGGCAATGGGAGGCCAGTGAGGGATTGGCAGAGAGGGGTGGAGGACACTGAGTGGAGGCCAGTGGAGAGATTGGCAGAGAGGGATGGAGGACACTGAGTGGAGGCCAGTGGAGGGATTGGCAGAGAGGGATGGAGGACACTGAATGGGGGCCAGTGGAGGGATTGGTAGAGAGGGATGGAGGACACTGAGTGGAGGCCAGTGGAGGGATTGGCAGAGAGGGATAGAAGACACTGAGTCGAGGCCAGTGGAGGGATTGGCAGAAAGGGGTGGAGGACACTGAATGGGGGCCAGTGGAGGGAATGGCAGAGAGGGGTGGAGGACACTTGAGTGGAGGCCAGTGGAGGGATTGGCAGAAAGGGGTGGAGGACACTGAATGGGGGCCAGTGGAGGGATTGGCAAGAGAGGGATGGAGGACACTGAATGGGGGCCAGTGGAGGGATTGGCAGAGAGGGATGGTCATGACTCCTCGGCCCTCTGCTTGCCTTTTTGAACATAGCTTCCACATTTCCTGCAGCTCCTGCAGCACTAAAGAGAACAAGGCTACGGTGTCTTTTTTTTTTTTTTTTTTTTTTTGTAAATTCTGCCACTATTTTCATTTGTGGCACATATACGCTCATAGTAAAGTGCATGCTATGCAGAACACTCTTCTGTGCCGTTTGTGTTCCTTTGGGACTGAGCAATATCACTTATCCCGCATTAGGAACAGGTGCTGAGCTAATGGGTATAGAACCTAAAGAATGAGGCTTCTGAATACTGACGTGTCACTACATTGGCTCCACATCAGTTGGTTGGGATGAAGGATTGCGGTTGGTCCATTGTGAGGATAGGCTCAGTACTCACCCCCATGATTCTCAAAGAGAAATCTGGAAAATTCGTTTTGATTCGACTTTTTCCCTTTAAATATTCCTTTTGTTTCTCTTTGCGTTTGACTGTTGTTTTTTTTATCTCGCTCCAGACAGCTGCGCCCCATGTCATACCTGCTGATGCATTTTACATCCTTTAAGCAGCCTTAATAATGCCTCCCAGGACACATAATAAGGAATTCTTTATGTGTCGAAGGTTCGGTTTAGAGTTTTCCTTACACACCGCTCACAAGGCGACCTGAATTATCGACCTACAACAGTTCTGCACCTGCTGGCGACGGGAGGGATTATTTTATTTACTTTTCTCCCTTTTTTTTTTTTTTCTTGTACAAGTTTTGAAACGGACACAAAACGAAGGAAAGCATTTAAAAAAAAAAAACAAGCTTTGTCTGCCAAAATCCACATTGGTTTCATTAGAGAGTTGTTTTTGAGAAAAGGCTGGTTAAAAATTCTGCATTTTATGGTTGAATTTTTTTAAGAGCGGTCATAAAGCATAAGAAAATGACGAGGTGTTGGGATAACAGATTAATATGTTCATGTAACCATTTGTTCTAGGCTGGGAAGAAAAAAAAAACATGGAGGGCTTTTGTAAACGGGAGCGGGATTACAATACAAAGGCTCCTTTTAGGGGAACGTACAGTGCGTTCCAAGCTGGCCCAATGCAGTGAAAAGGGTAACAGACTTTTAATGAAGATGGGAGTGATTTGTATCTGTCACCAGGGCGGCTTTTTTTTTGCGGGCTGGGCATTTATTTTGAGGAATGTGGCCTACAATGTTCCCTGGGAACAAGTGCATTAAATTCGAGTTCCACCTGCAAAAAAAAAAAATGTCAGCAGTTACAAAAACTGTAGCTGCTGACTTTTAAAATACAGCCACTTACCTGTCCCTCGGTCCTGCGGTGTCCTCACCACGGCTGGTTTCACCGGCCATCTTCTCTCCCTGGTGCCGGCATCTTCAGTGTGGGCACCCGGCTGTGACAGCTTGCGGCTTCACAGCCGGGTGCCCACTGCGCATGCGCAAGCGCCGCGCTTTGTGAATGGCCCCATAGTCTTCTGGGACCTATCGCGTGTCCCAGAAGACTACGGGGAGGGACGGGAGGAGGACAACGTCAGCATCCATGGGGATCCTGTCTTTAGCCTGGCTCTCCTCCCTCCCCTTCTTCTTCTCCCCCTTCTTCCTCTTCTTCTCGCATGTTGCCAACATGACCACAGAGAGTGAAGGTGTAGTGGTGCTGGGAGAAGGGGAGCTACTACCCTCTAGTGGTTGGAGGGTAGCAGCGCAAGTTGTGCTGGTTGGCTGGCTCACTCGCCACCCACACCCCCGCCGCACAACCCGGCCCTCAACAGGCCTCGGACTGGCACCAATCTGCAGCCCCGAGGTTGGGGGGGCCTCTGCCCTAACAGGAAGGCAGATCTCGTCAGCAACAAAATAAATGAATTTTGAGATTTGGAGGAGGCTGAGAGCTTCACAGCCAGGTGCCCGCTGCGCTTTGTGAATGGCCCCGTAGTCTTCTGGGACCTGTCATGTGTCCCAGAAGACTACGGGGAGGGAGGGGGGAAGACAACTTCTGCTTCTGATCACCGGTACTCCATGGCGATCCTGTCTTTAGCCTGGCTCTCCTCCCTCCCCTTCTCCTTCTTCTCCCCCTTCTCCCTATCTCTCTTCCTCTTCTTCCCGCATGTCGCCAACATGACCACAGAGACTGAAGGGAGTAGTGGTGCTGGGAGAAGGGGAGCCACTACC